AAACAGATGCAATTAAAAGATGGCCTCTTTTGACAGTAACGTTCCCTCATTGACACACACACACACACACACACACACACACACACACACACACACACACATAGAACTCACTGGCAACCATCTCGAATTGTACCCCCACTTCACTGTCACTTTGAATAGACACAAAAAGTCATTACACTGTTTTACATGGCAGTTAATAACATTTGCTTTGTTGTCCCCGGAGAATTGAAGGAGCTTTAACCCCAAAATGCTCTCGCGTGCGTTTGTGTGATTCACTGAGCCTTGCCTCATTTCTTCCCTCATCCAAAGCAGACAAAAAATACTGGGTGAAGTGTGCTTCGGTGAACTTAGAGCTACTTGTGACCAAACTTGATGGGGCTTGCCCCTTGGTTGAGGATTTTGCAAAAGTATCGAAAGGAAGTGGTCGTGATCAACTGTACCATAAGGCCTTTTTATACTGCCCGTTTCCCCCCCCCACACACACACACACATCTTTGTGTCACTAAATGAAACCCACATGGAATGACAAAAGTCGACCTGGCAGTTCTATACTTTTGGAGCTCGATATTCCGAGACAGCGCTTGAGTGTAAAAATTGTCTCATTCTAATTTTCATGCTTAGATGTGCCTGTTTGGGAATTTGGTTCATCTCTGTGTGCAATACTGAGTGTCCGGTGTACTAAAGGCACTTCCTTTGACATGCGCTCGGCACACGTTTCAATATGGTGGCTGAACGTAGAATCATCTACACGCCTGCTGGAAGCACGTCTCACTATTGCCAGAGTGGGCCTAACGCGATTCTGGTGAATTTGATTGAGGTGCGGGCTGACAGATTTCTGAGCTCTGGGGTCATGTGCGGCGGATATCAGAGTATTTCATTCAGAAATATAAAAACAGTTCGCATGGAACACTCAAAATCCGTTCATTGAATTCATGATTATTATTATTTTCTGAATGATATATTGTGAAAGTCATCCCACTGGCTACAGCACAGCTATGTGCAGGGTAAAGCTATAATTGATTTGTGTGTGTGTGTGTGTGTGTGTGTGTGTGTGTGTGTGTGTGTGTGTGTGTGTGTGTCTGTTTCTTTCTTTCTTTTACCATGGCACGATTGTCAAGGAAGTAGTTAATGGAAATAAAAATAATCACTTCCATGAATGTCACCATCATGAAACTTTCAATTGTGCAGGAATCATAATCAGAATAATAACCATAATAATAAGTGACCCACACTCAATAAAGGAAAACTTTAATTGATACATGACAAAGACTGATTTATTCACTGTACAATTTATTATTCACATGTTCACATTCTTAACTCGTACACAGCTGTAAAAATAATTCGACAAGTCTTACCACTTTAAACGTGAGTCCATTGACTTTGCGTAACGGTCCAGTACTTTTTGTTCTTCTCTCCTCACGTTATTTCTTCTCTTGATAGGCCTTGTTGAGATTGTGCCCTTTTTGGAATACAGTAATGAAAAGCTCCCCCCAAAAAATCAAACATATTTTTCCTGAAAAAAAATTGCCTTTAAGGCATTCAACGTCCGCTATATGTTTTTTTGTTTGCATTAACTTGTGTTGCCCAAAAAAAAAAATCGATTTAGGGAATGATTTTGTGAATTCAACTTCAGTTGTTATGTTAGTTATTTACGCCGCTTTCCTCCACTTGAGAGAAGAGCCAGATTTCCACCAGACGCTTGAGAAAATGATGGACATGTTGAACAACACCGCGGACTTGAAGACATGCGGGATGGCCCTTCACACAGTTGAAACATGTCTCGTAGCCAGAATAATCCGCTTTTCATGGCGTCTTCTTATAACGAATGGCTGCCATGTGTTGTCCACTGGTGATTGTTAGAATAACAACGCGTCTGTCATAGTTTTAACAAAAGTAACTTATGCTTTTGTGGCAGCCGACGAATGCCGAAATACTGCTTAATTTATGCTGATTTTTTTTGGACAGGACGACATGAAAGCACGTTGTGAAAACATTTCAAAGGCGCAGCTGTGGAAAAAGAGGGTGTGTGGACTGTCCCCAGTGTAGAATTTGTGGAGAAAACAGCTTCAAGCAAAAATGTCTCATATTACCAAATTATCACTTTAGGGCCGCATTCATTCCAAATATTTGTTTTTTTTCGGTTTGGGTTTTTTTTTTTTTTTTTTTTGTCCGCTTGTCACCGAAAAGACTCTTTGTAACATAATGCCGAAATGAATTTGTCAAGTGGCATCATCAACGACCACGTTGATGATGCCTTGTCATCAGGTGTTGGAAATATAGTTCCATTTGAAAATAAGAGATAGAAGTAGATTCTTTATGGCGTTTGAGAAACCTTTAAAAAAATGTAAATTAGTCTGATTATTCTGATAGGAAAATTGTAATCATGTGAGCGTTTCGTTTTTGTTGAAAACTGTTGTAACGTCAAGGGAATAGTTTTACTTTTTTGTATTTTAGGTTAGAATCTGGCAAGAATTACATATTGGAATAGAAAACAACCTTTAAAACAATGATGTATACACATCACATTGTAGTTATCTTTTAATGCATCTTTTTTGACACATTTATCATCTATCTCTGTTGTTTGTAGTTTTACTCCATTTCGGGTGGATGTTTTTTTTTTTTTTTGTCCTTTTGGGAGTAGCAGAAATAGAAAACTGTAAAGTAGAACATACCAAAAACATCATAATGTTCATCTGTACCACTATGTTATTGGTGTCTCTTAAACTCAAACTCGCAGTGAAAGAACAAAACAAATATATCAAAATAACCACAAATAAACACCACAGGTCTTATCATCTTTCTTTATTCAAAGTCGCTGACACATGAAGATTTCAAAGGGCATGTGTCGAACATTTTTACAAACCCAATTCCAATGAAGTCGGGATGTTGTGTTAAACATGAGCGAAAACAGAACACGCTGATTTGAAAATCATTTTCAATCGGTATTTTTATTTTCATGTTCAAACTGATCAACGTGATTGTTTTAAGCAGATACTGTAATCATGAACTTGAATTTTTAATGGCTGCAGCACGTTCCAAAAAAGCCGCGACAGGGTCACGTTTGCCACCGTGTTACATCACCTTTTCTTTTAACAACAGTCAAGGAACATTTGGGAACCGGGCTCTTTTTACGACGAAGCCACGCTGTCGTAACATGTGCAGAATGTAGTTTGGCATTGTCTTGCTGAAATAAGCACGGGGTGTCCATGAAAAAGACGCTGCTTGGATGGCGGCATGTGTTTCTCCCAAACCAGAATGTACCTTTTAGCAGAAAGTGTGACTTCACGGATTGGGTAAATTACATGGCATTGGCATCAACACAGCTCCACACCATCACAAATGCTAGCGTTTGAACTTCGGGATGTTTTTTTGGGGGGGTGGAGGGGGTTTCCTCTTTGTCCTGGACGTCCAAAAACACTTTGAAATGTGGACTCGTCAGACCACAGACCACTTTTCCACTTTGCGTCTGTCCATCTTCAATGAGCTCGGGCCCAGAGAAGCCGGCGGCTTTTCTGAGTGTTGCTGATAAATGGCTTTCGCTTTGCTTCGTCGAATTTGTAGTTGCATTTACGGATTTAGCGTCAAACTGCAGAGACTGACATTGTTTTTCCAAAGTGTTTCTGAACCTTTTTTGCTGACATCCTTTATGTCAGTTTTTGATGCGGTACCGCCGGAGGGATCGAAACTCGCTGGCATTCAAACGTTGGTTTTCGACCTTGCCCCTTACATGCGGTGATTTTGCTAGATTCTCAGAACCTTTTGAAGATATTATGGACCGTTGACGATAAAATCCCTTCATTCCTTAACACTGTTCATTCAGGAACATTGTCCTTAAACTCTTTGACTGTTTTCTCACGCAGTTGTTCACAAAGAGGTGAACCTCATAGCACCCACCTGTTCCCAGTTAGCCCGTTCACCTGTGGATTGTTCCAAACAGGTCTTATGTCTTTTTTGGAACGTGTTGTAGCTTCTTTGGAATTGGGGTTGTACAAGTCTTCTCTTCACTTTAACATTTTGCCATCCTTAAAGGCATCATTATAAAAGGCAGACCCCCCCCACCCCCTCCCTCTCTATCTGTCTGTTTCTCTCTCATTGATTGAGTCCACTATTAGCCACAGTCACATCCAGTATAGGCCGGCCATTCAAAGCTTTCTCCAGTTGATTTGCACACAACCGTGAGCGGCGCATCAAGACAATCAACCCTTTTCAAGTTGACTGCGGATGAACCCGGCAACCTTCAGTTAGTCTAATTCCAAGTGCTCCTTCTGGAACGCGTCCACGCCGCCTCAGGCCATCGCCACTCTGTGATTGCACCATGTGATGTCGTGATGGCCGGACGTGTGCGCACACAGACACGCGCACACACACGCACACACGCATCATAAACTTTGCCAGCTTGTTCTAGCTTAGCACCACAATTCAAAGAAGATTCGGAGAAGAAAGGAACTTTTATAACCATCATATCCAATCATTTGTTTCCTGCTGGCCTCCTTTTCTTTTTATTGACTTTTTTTTTAAGTGACTTTGCCCTTCTCAGAGCACTTTGATTTATTAGCCACATTTTTTTTTATACCGCCTACCTACGAGTGCTATAATGAGACATTAAATTTGAAGGTATTTTTCCTGGGCTTGAACACATTTAAGATGAGGCACACAATTTAACAGCTACCAGGTGTCTTCTTCATCTATAGGGAAACATGTTTGATCAAAATACCCCAAGGAGTAATTTTCAAAACTTTACACCCTATTTTCTTGTCTTGCTGAAAACAGCTTGTTTTGGGTCTGTCTTGCAAAAGTGAGCCAGCCCTCATGAGTCTCTCAAGATGTGTCATTTAAATGGCACTCGTTCAGTTTGGTAATGCTGGTTGACGTCTGCTTTGATTTGGAACTAAAAAGATTTCGTTCCACAGTCAGCCTATTCGTACCATTCTAAAATCTTAATCAACAGTACAAGCAATGCTTGAAATGTCTAAAATGTTACAAATGTTAAATTGTAATGGTCATAAAAGTGTTGGGGGGGGGGAGAAAAACAAATTAACCATTGTGAAATAAAGCCAAAATAATATGAACAGGCCCTTGCATTCCCTTTGTCATTGGAAAAGTCCGAATGATCATCAAGCACCATGCTCCGCCCACATCAGACTGCGTCGGCTCATTTGAGCAATTTCCCTAGAAGGAGTTAAAACTGTCAAAATACAAGCCCTGGAGTACGCCCAAAATGCCGTGTTCAAAGTCATGTCCACACAATTTCATGTCGACCAGTGAAACTGGTGTCTGATATTTTTCTAACTTTTGGGGGCTTTTGCTACCGACTGAGTTTTAACATAACAGTTCAATTGAATGTAAAGAATGAAACAGTTTGTGTGTTTTGGTCATTGATGATGTGATGTATCTCCTGATTCATTTGGATGCGTTTTTCTGTCCATTGCCAGACAAAATGGTGTTTATTGGTGATTGGGGACCACTGTACTGTCGATAATTGCATTTAGTGCTGCTTGCTGGGTTCTGAGATTCATTTATCGAGCAAAAAAAAATTCCAAGCCGTCATTCTTGCCTCTAGAAATGGTGTTTAACCAGTCGCCTATTTTTTCACAACCCTTCACTGCAGCTGGATGTTTTAGAAGCAGGGAAATTTTTTTAAGGGCCCTTTGAGCCACGAGACGCGGCGTGGCGAAAGGGACGAAGACCTCATGACTTCCCACTGCCATGGATCTCGGGGGGGGGGGGGGGGGGGGCGCTCGGCGTCATTGTGGGACGCTTTTGTCTGATAAGGAGTCACGCACCACGCCGGATTGAAGTCATGTGCTCCTCATTGCGCGGCAACACAAGACAGCGGCAATCTGTCTGTCTGGCTTCATTTTTTAAAATGTTCTATGCACTGGTCCTTTTTCCCAGAAATTGTCTTTCATGTTGTCTGTCTCCTCGCAGTTCTAATGTGCATGTAAGCAGCTGCCAGTGTGCCGCTATGAAGATGCCCTATGCATGTCGAGTGGGTGTGTCGGCGCCGGGTCGAGGCTTTTTAGTGCACGGAGGGAGACTTTTAGCTGGCTCCTGGGGACACTTCCCTCCACACCCACACTACATTCTGATATATTCTCTGGACCCCATCACCACTGCTGAGATTTAAATAGACACAGGCCCAAACGCATGCTTTTCAGATGCATTTTTACAACCCATTTGTGGTCATTATCTCTCATGGCCAGATGTCAATGCCGATCAAATGTTCTATTAAATAAATCAAGCAACTTCCATTGTCCTGCGTTGACTCTAAGGCTGGATGCTTCCAGGCATATCGGATATAGCCTGTACATGTGAGATCATGGAAATCGAGTGCACAAAAAAAACAAAACAAAAAACACACACCCATGGTAAATCAAAACGACAGCAAATATTCAGGGGAGCCAAGTAGCGCTTTGACATCACCAAAAGCCTTATTCAAATATGTTCTACCATGCAGCACCTTGAAAAATCCCATTCCCTATTTTTTGAATGTATTTTTTTGATTCATTAAAATCAGCATAAATCTGAGAATTTCAAAACTAATGAAGTTGAAACGTATGAATATCATCTAATGAAGGCATGCCCACCATGACGAGCTGCATTTGTAAATCATCATATCCAAATTTAGTCAGACAGTGAAAGGACTAAATGCGATGTATTTGAAAAGTTGTTTTTTTTTTTTCCTCGACATGTAGTACTCACCAATGGACGAACGAGGCTCTTGTTAGAAAACTGCAGTTGTTTGTTTACATTCAAACTCAGCTTATAGCTAAGGTGAGTGACACATCATGTGGACCTTGCAACACCTCCAGTATGGGGCGGTGTTGTATGCTTTAATTAGAAGAGTATATTGTTTTAATTGAATTGAATTTTCAGTTACATTTGTCGCTTCTAATGTTGTTTTAAGGTTAGTGTCCTTTTTAAACCTGTCTAGACCATATTAAACCACATGAGATTTTTAGGGACAATCAAGCGCTCAGTAGGCTCCCAAGATTTTTTTTAAGGCCTGTACACAAGGAGAGCTCCAAAGTTTGAAATGCAAATTGAACAGTCAATATCTGACCATAAACTAACACAGATGCCATTCCCAAAATGCCCGTCAGCATGAAGAAGTGCAGTCCCCTGACAGAGTCGATGAAAGCAGAACATGATCATATTTGTAAAAGGTGACTTTTTGATAACACTTCTTTAATTGGCTCTCGTTTGATTGTGCAGGTGTCTGCTTCGTGAACACAACAGACGTACATCTGGCAACTGAGTGCATACACTTTCCCATTACATTTTGTCAGATCCCGGAAAGGATCTTCACGGCTTTAATTCAACATTTTCCACCGTACGCATCAATCAGCAAAAAATCTCCTTTCATTTTAACCAGGTGGTATATTTGCCTTGCTTTAAGTAGACACTTGTGAACGTTTAACATTTCACATAAAGTAATGGCGAGGCTAACAACTATGCCTTTTTGGGGGGAAATGTTGTCACTTCCTCGTGCACACAATGATGATTTCCCTATGGCCTGCATTTCTTGTGTACAGTGCAGCCCAGTCTCCATCAGAGTGTCAGACAGTCTCCAGCAGAAAACCGCAGGCGCTTTTGTACCGCCGAGATGTTAGCCGAAGGGAAAACAGCCCTCGCGTCTCGTCAAACATCGCTCTTTGAAAAATTCAATTACTATGTTTGACTGTGACACCACAGGATGTTCTAATAGAGAGAGCAGGATTCAGCATAAGCATCAAAACCACACTTTGGCGGAGACGAACATGATGACACATTTAGAACCGTTTTGTCTGACTGGCTGAATACAAATTCAAAGTTGTCATTGGACAGATAAGCTTTTTGGGACAGCGGGTTATTCCGCCTTGAGAAAGAAAAATGGAATTAGTTCCTTCCTTGTGGCTACTAGTCAAGTTCTTCAACACCATACTCATCTTATCGTTTATGGACACCGAGGCAAAGTATTCCCACGTGTGTGACAGTTAAGCATGTTCAAATGTCATGTCAAACTTTCAGACTGCTGCACTCAGCTGAGGTAGCAGCTGCCGGTCCCTGACCTTAAACTAGCTCAGAGGAAACAGTATACGACATGTCTGTATGGAAATGCCCGTAATGGTGGCCCCCTCATCCCGACCCTATGCATTTTTTTTAAAAAACTGCCAAGCTAGCATTTCGACAGTGTTTACGGTGCACAGTGTTACACATGCGCTCGATCCACTCGTGTCCCGGCATGCCTGTAAGTGTGTGCAACAGCGCCGATGTAAGTGTTTTCTCTGCGTAAGTGCATGTTGGAAGCCTGGCTTGTAATTCGCTCACAAGTCTTCCTCTGAACAGAGCTGTACGGCAGAACTGCAGGTCTGAAATGGTCTCAGCGCGGGTTCCAAAGCTGCCTGGCAGCTTGACTGGAGGTCCTCATAGTGGGAGGCTTCAGCACCATGCCGTCATGGTTGCCGCACACACTCCATTCCTCTGAATTTACAACTTTAGATTGGATACATGCTACCCCGTGTCTAAAAATGGCCAAATTCATGTTTTCACAAAACAATAGCAATGATCTGTCCTTACTTAATCTGTTATGTGTTACACAATATTAGACCATTTAACGCGGTGAAAATAGCTTGAAAACAAATCCGTTGCCACTCTCGAACGCAAAACTCTGTCTATTTCGTAGTTCTAAGAATCTGTGTGGCACGTAATGATGTGACGGGCCAGATCCGGCCCCCGCGCCTTGAGTTTGACACCTGTAGTTTCCAGCAAAAGGCGGGCAAAATTTCATGTTCAAAGGCCACATTTGATTAGCATTTTGGGGAGGGTGGCGAGACAGGTTCCGAGTGCAGGATCTAATCCTGCGATTGACTGGCTCCACTCCAGGGTGTCCTCACACTCTCACCTGAAGCCATCTGGACTAGGCACCAGCTCACCCGCCACCCTAATGAGAGCAAACGAGAAAATGCATGACTGGCGACCACCATTCATGCTTTGAAATCTTGCACACACCCCGAGAGCGCTCGCACGCCACAGCATGGGAATCCTCCCGAACCTGAGCCCACCACACTGCCGCGTTGTCTTTCCACAGGGTGCCTGACAACCACGCGCGGCTTTGGTTGAGTGTAACAGTCGTACGGCGACGGGGTCGAGGGGTCGCAACGTGCTCCTGACGGAGCCGCGTGCACGCAAGCTCGAAAAGAAGGCTAGAAAAGGAACTTAATGACCTGCGGTAATTACACTCCACTTACATGACGCAATGACTTCTTTACACCAAGCAGATGGGTAAAAGTGGTGTGGTTGGATGAGCGCAAGTGCTAAGTGAGTTAACCAAGAAGTAACACAATACTGTTGCAAGTCTATTTTTCCCTCACATGCTGGGTGGCTGACAACGCTTTCACCTGCCTTGGTTGCTTTGCAACAAAGCAGGAACTCTATTAATGAAGTCAAGTACTCGGCAGGCATAATTGGATTTTTTTTTTTCAACCGCGGTACTATGTAAATGTTTTGAGATAAGAGGTTTTGATTTGTTGCTCTGTGTATAACTTTTGAGTACAGACCGGGGGGAGGGGGGAGGGAGAAAAGAAAAAAAAAACATTAAAATACACCTTTTTATCTTTTTACAACGATCATAAAATTCCGTTTTCCCTCATATTACAACTTATTATAAGAATTATTATTATGATCATTGTTTTGTTGTTTTGTTTTTTCTTTTAATGTCTTGATGTTATTATCATGACATTCCAATGTTTTCCCCTCATAATATTCAAACTCTTTTCATACAAGCACAACTTTTTTCTCACTATTGTATACCGGTAATTTGGGATAAATGTCAACTTTGTATCATGTAATATTTACACTTAGTTTTTTTTATAGAAATACAACTTTTTCCCCCTCACATTACAGGTTTAGTGTCATAAAATCCTAACTTTTCCCCCTCATATTCATTTCCTTCCTTCACTTTATTTTTCTATAAAATTCCAACTTTTGGAACTCATAATTTTCACATTTCATTTTCATCAAACTATAACTTTGTTCCTCATATTATTTCAATGTCATGCATTTCTGACTTTTTTTTTTCTCCTCATATTATGTTTTATCATAAAATGACATCTTCCTTCATCATATTATGACTTGGTCTTAAAATGACAAGTTGAAGCATAGGGCATCATTTTTGTATTTCAAATTTCCAACTATTGTCATATATATGACAGTATGACTTCATTTTTCTTCAATCTTCATATTTTATATACATATATATATATATATATCAAACTCAGCTTATAGCTAAGGTGAGTGACACATCATGTGGACCTTGCAACACCTCCAGTATGGGGCGGTGTTGTATGCTTTAATTAGAAGAGTATATTGTTTTAATTGAATTGAATTTTCAGTTACATTTGTCGCTTCTAATGTTGTTTTAAGGTTAGTGTCCTTTTTAAACCTGTCTAGACCATATTAAACCACATGAGATTTTTAGGGACAATCAAGCGCTCAGTAGGCTCCCAAGATTTTTTTTAAGGCCTGTACACAAGGAGAGCTCCAAAGTTTGAAATGCAAATTGAACAGTCAATATCTGACCATAAACTAACACAGATGCCATTCCCAAAATGCCCGTCAGCATGAAGAAGTGCAGTCCCCTGACAGAGTCGATGAAAGCAGAACATGATCATATTTGTAAAAGGTGACTTTTTGATAACACTTCTTTAATTGGCTCTCGTTTGATTGTGCAGGTGTCTGCTTCGTGAACACAACAGACGTACATCTGGCAACTGAGTGCATACACTTTCCCATTACATTTTGTCAGATCCCGGAAAGGATCTTCACGGCTTTAATTCAACATTTTCCACCGTACGCATCAATCAGCAAAAAATCTCCTTTCATTTTAACCAGGTGGTATATTTGCCTTGCTTTAAGTAGACACTTGTGAACGTTTAACATTTCACATAAAGTAATGGCGAGGCTAACAACTATGCCTTTTTGGGGGGAAATGTTGTCACTTCCTCGTGCACACAATGATGATTTCCCTATGGCCTGCATTTCTTGTGTACAGTGCAGCCCAGTCTCCATCAGAGTGTCAGACAGTCTCCAGCAGAAAACCGCAGGCGCTTTTGTACCGCCGAGATGTTAGCCGAAGGGAAAACAGCCCTCGCGTCTCGTCAAACATCGCTCTTTGAAAAATTCAATTACTATGTTTGACTGTGACACCACAGGATGTTCTAATAGAGAGAGCAGGATTCAGCATAAGCATCAAAACCACACTTTGGCGGAGACGAACATGATGACACATTTAGAACCGTTTTGTCTGACTGGCTGAATACAAATTCAAAGTTGTCATTGGACAGATAAGCTTTTTGGGACAGCGGGTTATTCCGCCTTGAGAAAGAAAAATGGAATTAGTTCCTTCCTTGTGGCTACTAGTCAAGTTCTTCAACACCATACTCATCTTATCGTTTATGGACACCGAGGCAAAGTATTCCCACGTGTGTGACAGTTAAGCATGTTCAAATGTCATGTCAAACTTTCAGACTGCTGCACTCAGCTGAGGTAGCAGCTGCCGGTCCCTGACCTTAAACTAGCTCAGAGGAAACAGTATACGACATGTCTGTATGGAAATGCCCGTAATGGTGGCCCCCTCATCCCGACCCTATGCATTTTTTTTAAAAAACTGCCAAGCTAGCATTTCGACAGTGTTTACGGTGCACAGTGTTACACATGCGCTCGATCCACTCGTGTCCCGGCATGCCTGTAAGTGTGTGCAACAGCGCCGATGTAAGTGTTTTCTCTGCGTAAGTGCATGTTGGAAGCCTGGCTTGTAATTCGCTCACAAGTCTTCCTCTGAACAGAGCTGTACGGCAGAACTGCAGGTCTGAAATGGTCTCAGCGCGGGTTCCAAAGCTGCCTGGCAGCTTGACTGGAGGTCCTCATAGTGGGAGGCTTCAGCACCATGCCGTCATGGTTGCCGCACACACTCCATTCCTCTGAATTTACAACTTTAGATTGGATACATGCTACCCCGTGTCTAAAAATGGCCAAATTCATGTTTTCACAAAACAATAGCAATGATCTGTCCTTACTTAATCTGTTATGTGTTACACAATATTAGACCATTTAACGCGGTGAAAATAGCTTGAAAACAAATCCGTTGCCACTCTCGAACGCAAAACTCTGTCTATTTCGTAGTTCTAAGAATCTGTGTGGCACGTAATGATGTGACGGGCCAGATCCGGCCCCCGCGCCTTGAGTTTGACACCTGTAGTTTCCAGCAAAAGGCGGGCAAAATTTCATGTTCAAAGGCCACATTTGATTAGCATTTTGGGGAGGGTGGCGAGACAGGTTCCGAGTGCAGGATCTAATCCTGCGATTGACTGGCTCCACTCCAGGGTGTCCTCACACTCTCACCTGAAGCCATCTGGACTAGGCACCAGCTCACCCGCCACCCTAATGAGAGCAAACGAGAAAATGCATGACTGGCGACCACCATTCATGCTTTGAAATCTTGCACACACCCCGAGAGCGCTCGCACGCCACAGCATGGGAATCCTCCCGAACCTGAGCCCACCACACTGCCGCGTTGTCTTTCCACAGGGTGCCTGACAACCACGCGCGGCTTTGGTTGAGTGTAACAGTCGTACGGCGACGGGGTCGAGGGGTCGCAACGTGCTCCTGACGGAGCCGCGGGCACGCAAGCTCGAAAAGAAGGCTAGAAAAGGAACTTAATGACCTGCGGTAATTACACTCCACTTACATGACGCAATGACTTCTTTACACCAAGCAGATGGGTAAAAGTGGTGTGGTTGGATGAGCGCAAGTGCTAAGTGAGTTAACCAAGAAGTAACACAATACTGTTGCAAGTCTATTTTTCCCTCACATGCTGGGTGGCTGACAACGCTTTCACCTGCCTTGGTTGCTTTGCAACAAAGCAGGAACTCTATTAATGAAGTCAAGTACTCGGCAGGCATAATTGGATTTTTTTTTTTCAACCGCGGTACTATGTAAATGTTTTGAGATAAGAGGTTTTGATTTGTTGCTCTGTGTATAACTTTTGAGTACAGACCGGGGGGAGGGGGGAGGGAGAAAAGAAAAAAAAAACATTAAAATACACCTTTTTATCTTTTTACAACGATCATAAAATTCCGTTTTCCCTCATATTACAACTTATTATAAGAATTATTATTATGATCATTGTTTTGTTGTTTTGTTTTTTCTTTTAATGTCTTGATGTTATTATCATGACATTCCAATGTTTTCCCCTCATAATATTCAAACTCTTTTCATACAAGCACAACTTTTTTCTCACTATTGTATACCGGTAATTTGGGATAAATGTCAACTTTGTATCATGTAATATTTACACTTAGTTTTTTTTATAGAAATACAACTTTTTCCCCCTCACATTACAGGTTTAGTGTCATAAAATCCTAACTTTTCCCCCTCATATTCATTTCCTTCCTTCACTTTATTTTTCTATAAAATTCCAACTTTTGGAACTCATAATTTTCACATTTCATTTTCATCAAACTATAACTTTGTTCCTCATATTATTTCAATGTCATGCATTTCTGACTTTTTTTTTTCTCCTCATATTATGTTTTATCATAAAATGACATCTTCCTTCATCATATTATGACTTGGTCTTAAAATGACAAGTTGAAGCATAGGGCATCATTTTTGTATTTCAAATTTCCAACTATTGTCATATATATGACAGTATGACTTCATTTTTCTTCAATCTTCATATTTTATATACATATATATATATATATATATATATATATTATAATATTTTATTTTATAATATTCTCACTCTGTTCATGTACTAGTCTTCCCTACTTTTCAGTAATGCTCCTAATCCTCCGAACTCTGTGTATTAAACTCATCGACGTATGCTGCTCATGTCACAGCCTAAATTAAGCTCTTCCTGCTTGGAATCTGGATCACTCAAACGTTCTCATGAGGTTCAAATGAATACACAATGATTTAGTATCTAATTGGCCAAACTGATGTCCTCGCGAACAAGAAAACAACTTCTAACTCAAAACAAAATGCTGGGTTGTTGGTTTGTAGTGTTGGATAACGGAGTTGCCTCGAGTAGTCAAATCACCAGTAGTCAAATCAACACTTCTCAGCTTTCCCCAATCTCTTCCAATGATTGAGATGAACCTCTCGATGAGGAAATACGGTAGCTGCCCTAACTTAAAAATAAACCAAGGTGTAATTTAAAAATAAAACACGATCTCACACAAAGTATGCGCTTAACTGGGGTTACTTTTGGAGTAAACACCACGTCACTACTTTTACTTGAGAGTGGCTTTCAGCTACGTCTTTTCCCCCACTTGGACCGGCACACGCTCACAATGGCTTTGTGAGCCATATACAGTAAAAGAAAGCAGAACGTGCGAGGGGGGGCGGGGAGGAGGAGGAGAACTCGGCACTACTCGGCTCCAGCTCCACTTCCACTGGTGACCCCGCCGGTGTAAATCTCAAGTTTTTGGAGAGCCTTAGAGTGAAGTCACTATTTAATATGGACTCATTCTGATCCCCGCTGGCAAGTCGCGTATTAAAGTAAAGTCAATCCCTCCGCTGCTATCTGTGCAGATGGGTGGACTTTGCGGTAAGACGTGACATTAAAGAGATATGATCAGGGCTGACACGGCAACAATTGTGGCTGTCAAGCTATTTTACACCTCTTTGTGTGAAGCCACTGCGAAAACAAATCCCTTGGCTGTACATTTGCCGTGCAAAAAACAAGCCGAGCTTCTTTTTGCACTCCTACTCATTAACCGTGCCTCTCATTCACACCCACTTCAAAGCTATGGCAAAAAAAGCAACGCTATGAGACGGATGACTAATGAATCGCAATTAATGACCGCAACGTATCACCCCCAGACGATGGTACAAAACCAGCAGTGGGTACATTTTAGTTTAACAGACATAAAATGGCACGTAACATGTAACGTCAGGGGGGGGAAAAAAGATTGAGTCAAATACGGCCGCCACCACACCGTTTGTAACCTGGAACATGAACAATGAAACCGCGTCATCCTTCATCCATCCACCGATTATCTGATCGGGTCGCCGGCATGCTGGAGCCGATCCCAGCCGTTTTCGGGCAGCGGGCAGGGTACACCCTGAAACGGTTGCCAGCCAATTGCAGGGCACACAGAGACGAACATCCATTCGCGCTCACAATCACACCTACGGACAATTTTGGGCGCTCAATCACCCCTTGGAATGTGGGAAGAAACCAGAATACCCGGACAAAACCCATGCAGGCACAGGGACTGGATTTGAACCCACAGCCTTTGCACTGTGAGGTGGACGTGCTAACCAGTTGATCCCCGTGCTGTCCGTGTCATCCTGTCCCATCCATCCACCCCCTCCATTTTCTACATCGTTTATCCTGAACAGAGTCGCGGAGAGTTGCTGGAGCCTATTCCTGTCCCATAAATTTGTGAAAAAAAAAAAGGAAACATGTTAGTTTTCCACGGTGAGAAACTGCAGCTGACATTGCAATCCGGAGCCTCCGATCAATAAGGCAGACATGTTAACCGCTCTCTCAATATGCCACCATCAACAGTGCCTAGTTTAAAAGTTGAAACTAAAAACTCCCCAAAAAATGTTGCTGCCCGTCACAAAATACTGAATAAAAACAAATGGACTTGACTCCGTGTGCGTCCTGAAATAACTGCCTCAACAAGGATAGTCGCCTAGCCTGTAAATGAAGAATTGTGATTGCTGATGTTGCTATGGCAACCCTAAATTGCACAACTTTTGTGGTCTATAATATTGGTGGACCGACCAGGATACTGATCGTGTTTGTTCAAGGATTTAATGTGATGTTATTTTTATTTTTTTCTTACTAGTGCGTTTCCTCAAATAATGGCCTCTGCTCTAATAGACGCTGTGCCTTTATTAATCTCTGGGTGCCTTGAGCAACTAAATAAATAAATACCTCCCTTTCAGGGGAAAAAATATAATAGGCAGGCACTGCTACATTGCATTGAGTTGTCTGGGCACGAGGCCATACAATCTCAGTGCAAACGATTTTATTTAGCCAAAGAAGAAAATCATTTCGTCTGTTCGGCCAAACCGCGCATGTTTAAGATCTTTTGGGGAAATATGAAATGTCACATATCGCACTTGAGCTCACAAATTCATCTGCGTATAAACGTGTCATCTGATGCTTCACATCAGAGTCACACGACATGACATGAGTTCAATAATGGAGCATCACAAGAGCTGCGTGGGAGGCTGTATTACTCTTCTAGAACGTAGCATCTTGTACTTTGGGTCTCTTAAAAAAAAAAAAAAGAACCATTTTTATTGTCTGCGTCTCATTCCGTACCAAAATTGAATCTGAGCTTCCAGCAGCCAAGTAAGTGCAAACTCAAGCGTCTCCATAAATCAAGCGCTTATTTTGGCGTTGTGCGTGGTTGCCGCTTGCGTTAAAAGTGTACAGTTACAAATGATGGTGGATGTAATGGATACACAGCCAGCTGGGAAAGACACACGGACGATGGCACGTTGCATCATTTCGCTTTAAAAGCGCGACTTTTTATTCATGCCTGGATTTATTTATTTCTGTTTGTACATTCACTTTCAGTCTTCAGTTAAAGAGCAAAATCTAATCAGAAAGAAGTGCAAAAATGTGACAAATG